AATGGCAGAATTGAGTAGTTACAACAGAGACCGTATAACCCACAAAGCCTAAAATATTGCTGTCTGATCCTTTGCAAAAAAAGCTTGCTCACCCCTAACCTAGCCTATTGTGAGAGTTTTCACCACAGCTGCCTGTCCATAATCTAAGGTAGTAACATTCACATTCCTTTCTGATTTGGCTGCCAACCTAGCAATGCATGGCTGGTTAACGCTTATTCTTTTTTTTTTTTAATTTATTTATTTATTCATTTATTTTTGGGTGCGTTGGGTCTTCGTTGCTGCGCGGGCTCTCTCCAGTTGCGGCGAGTGGGGGCCACTCTTCGTCGCGGTGCACGGGCTTCTCATTGCGGTGGCTTCTCTTGTTGCGGAGCACAGGCTCTAGGCGCACGGGCTTCAGTAGTTGTGGCACGTGGGCTCAAGTAGTTGTGGCTCGCAGGCTCTAGAGCGCAGGCTCAGTAGTCGTGGCGCACAGGCTTAGTTGCTCCATGGCATGTGAGATCTTCCCAGACCAGGGATCGAACCCATGTCCCCTGCATTGGCAGGCAGATTCTTAACCACTGTGCCACCAGGGAAGTCCTAACGTGTATTCTTAAGTCAGATGGAACTGCTCTTTACTCAGCCCTGTATTCATGTTGTTTTTTCTTCCTGCTATCTGCTCTTCTTTTCCCTGAGGATAATAAGAGCTAACATCTCTTGAATTTAACTTTGTGCCAGGTACTGTGCTAGACAAAATGAAATGTATCATCTCATTTAATTCTCACAGCTGTCCTAGGAAATTGGGATTGTCATTATGGTAACAAGTAATAAGTGATAACAAAACCTATCTTAGAGGGTCGTTGGAGAATTTATTGAGGGAATGTGTATTGGCTACCTGACGCAGAGTAGGCACATTTTAATGGTAGATCCTGCTGTTTTGTTTGTTTGTTTGTTTATTTTTGGCTGCGTTGGGTCTTCGTTGCTGCACGTGGGCTTTCTCTAGTTGTGGCGAGCAGGGGCTACTCTTCATTGCAGTGTGTGGGCTTCTCATTGTGGTGGCTTCTCTTGTTGCGGAGCACGGGCTCTAGGCGTGCGGGCTTCAGTAGTTGTGGCATGCGGACTCAGTAGCTGTGGCTCATGGGCTCTAGAATGCAGGCTTAGTAGTTGTGGTGCACAGGCTTAGTTGGTCCACCACATACGGGATCTTCCCAGACCAGGGCTCCGAACCATGTCCCCTGCATTGGCAGGCAGACTCCCAACCACTGCACTACCAGGGAAACCCTGCTGTTTTAATTATGTTTTTTAATCAAAGGAAAGCTTGCAAAATAGTACTGTTTATACTTATCCCTTCTCCTAATTCTGTTCCTAGAGACAACCATTTTCAAATTTTAATTGTTTCTTTTGATGTTTACTTACATTTCTAAATAATATAAGTATACAGCTGTTTCTTGACTTTTTTTTCTTTTAAAGGTCATTTTTTTGACTTTTTAAGGAAAACTAGTTAGCTCTCTTACTGCTACCATCCCTCCCCACCCATCCACCCAAGAAGCACATTTTTGCCTTCCTCAATCCTTGCAGTGTGGTTATAGCGTTCTTTTTGGTTAAATCAGTATTCCGTCCTTGCTAAGTGAAGTCAGTATTATTTACTACTAAGCTGTGTGGTGTACCACATCACATTTCCTTTGTTTTGCAGCTCTTTGTGGCCTACTCCTGATATTACTTTTTTTTTAATTAGACATTTCTTTTTTCTAGCAGGTAAGATAAATGTATTCTAACTTCAATTAAAAGGAAAGCTCTCTTGGAAAGGCACTGATGTTCCTCAGAGGATGCAGGAAAGAGCTGGGCAGCCTGGCTGTAGGGGAGCCAGCAGCAGATGGGTGCAGCCCTCACTCTAGGCTCTCTCACAGCCTTCCTCTACTTCTCTTTTCTTTTTTCTTGTTTTCCTTTGCTGTTTTCTGTGTACCTATCACTAATTCCTCCCTAAGTAAAATACATCCTTTACGTATTTTTTTGTCAGTTTCTTTCTTTTTTTTGCTTGGAGTCATCTCCCTCCTTGTTTCATGAATGGACTGGTGGTTCTCTAGGCTGGTTGCATAGTTGTCATCCTGCGTCTTCCTTTCATAGCTCTTCTGTGGCTCTCCTGTTTCATGCATCCTCCTGAGAAAAGGGTACATGGGAAGTGAACATTTGAAATGTTGCATATGTGGAAATGTCTGTATTTCATCCCTTACGCTTAACTGATAGTGTGGTTGGATATTGAGTTCTAGGTTGGGAATCATTTTCCTTTAGAGTTTCGAAGCATCACTCTATTGTCTCTTCTGGCTTCCAGTGTTGCTACTGAGAGTCTAGTGCCATGCTGACTGCTAGGGCTTTGACACTGATCTCTGTTTCCTCTGCACACCTTGAGGCTCTTTTAGTGTCCCTAGCGTTTGAGATTTTCAGAATCACGTACCTAGTTTTTGGTCTCTTCACTCATTGTGCTGGGGACTCAGTGGGCCCTTCCATCTAGGAATTCATGTTCTTCATTCCTGGGAACACGAATATGTCTTTGATTTCTCCCCTGTTTGTATTCTCTGTTCTCCCTCTCTAGAACATATGTTTATGATTTGTGTGTGTGTGTGTGTGTGTGTGTGTGTGTGTGTAATTTTCTTATCAGCCCCTACCCATTTCTTTCATTTTTAAAATTTTTTGTTCTACGTTCTGTAAAATATCTTCAACTTTATCTTACAACTGATTTTTTTTAAATTCCTGCTATCACATTTATTATTTCTAAGATCTCTTGTTCTTTTTTCATAAATGTCTGCTAAGCCAGTTATCACATATAGGCTCCAAATAATTAGAGGCAGTACAAGATAGGTTATGATTAGATGTTGAAATGTTTGGTACTGACACTGAGTGCTGTAGGATAAAAGGGACTAGAGAAGTCACTGTCAACCAGAAAAATATGGGACAACTCCATGGAGAAAGTAGGATAGGATCTGGATCTAGAATTTAAAACTTTGGAAAGGTGAGGAACAGCCTTGTTGAGTAGGGGAAGTGTTGTCTTCGAAACCAGGCCCAGCTGAGTCCCTGTGAAATCTGAGCTTCAGTTTCCTCATCTTTAATGAGACTAATAATATCTACCCTCTAGGGTTGCTGTAAGGAGAGAAGTTGTATGTGTAAAGTATTTTGCACATAGTTATAATTTAATAAATTACATTTAATAAATTCTATGAGTTCCTTGAGGCCCGAACATTACCTTCTCTAGCCACACTTCCTAGCACAGTGCTTGCTGCATAGTGAGGTCTTACTATAGTACGTGAGGGAGGGAATAAATAAATGAGGAAAGGAGAGCATTCCAGACAGGGGGATAACAGGAACAGTGGCAGGGAAGTTGAAAATAAACATGTGGCATGGGAAACGACTGTTGGGATCTTGGCCTGACTAGAAAGGTTTATGTATTAACAAGTATTTGTGGAAATGTCTGGAAAGCTGAGCCACTGCTTTTTGGAGCGGGTGGGAGGAGAGGGGACTGACAGAGATAGTATGGGGCCAGTGTAAGGCATCTAAATTAATGACCAGATTGAGGTTAGAGAGCTTCTGGGTCAGTTAGAGAAACTGGGCTAATTCCAGTTTTCAACATGAACATTTGAGCAAGGGATTTAAGCTCCTCAGGCTTGTTGGGAAAATGATTCCTTCTTTGTCTACCCCAAATGATAATAAGGATAAAATGAGCCAGTAGATACAAGTATGCTTTGTAAGTTTGTGGCAAAGTTTCAGTGACTTAGGAAATAGGTAGAAAAGCAAAAACCCTTGTTTATCCACATGACTATAAAACCAACATGGCTTTAAATCCTTGGAAGCAATAAACTAGTAAGCCATAAGATGAGGTATGTTTCACCAAAAAGGTATTTCTTCCCTTGCTCTTTTTTTTTTTGGCTGTGCAGGGTCTTCATTGCTGTGCGCGGGCTTTCATTGCTGTGCAGGCCCCCAAGCAGAAGGGCGACTGAGCACCTCGGCCGCCCCAGCTCGCACCCGCCCACAGACTCGGGGCGGCACCAGAGGCCAACCCTGGGCCTTAAGCCCATCTCTGTCCTGCTTGCTTTTTGTTAATGTTGTTGGTTTTTTTAAGTTGGTTTTCATTTTTCGTTTGTTTGGTCTTATTTTGTAAGAAACTACTTTATATATAGTAGACCCTGTGCGCGAGCAGGGGCCACTCTTCGTTGCGGTGTGGGCTTCTCGTTGCGGAGCACAGGCTCTAGGTGCATGGGCTTCAGTAGTTGTGGCATGCAGGCTCAGTAGTTGTGGCTCGTGGGCTCTAGAGCACAGGCTCAGTAGTTGTGGTGCACAGGCTTAGTTGCCCTGCAGCATGTGGGATCTTCCCGGACCAGAGCTCGAACCTGTGTCCCCAGCATTGGCGGGCGGATTCTTAATCATTGGACCACTAGGGAAGTCCTTTCCCTTGCTCTTTTTCATAATTTGGCTATACGTAATTTTACTTTTAAATTTGCTCAATGCCTAGACCTATGTTGGCTAATCCAGTAGCCACTCACCACAGAGGCTCTTTAAATTTAATTAAATAAAATTCAGTTCCTCTGTTACACTAGCCATGTGTCGAGGGTTCAGTGGTCACATGGGCTATGGCTACCATTCCTCATCACAGAAAGTTCAGTTGGAGAGTGCTGGGCTAGGCTATATAGAATTGCAGTATGTATATATACATATATTTTTATATATACTTTAGTATTATTGTATGTACAACAATTTTACCCTCTCTGACCTTAATTTATAAAGCAGATAAGTGACGCTTGTTTCTTTAAAAACATTAAGCTGTTTTTCACTTGTATGTGTCTCAGTTGATTGTTTAGTGTCTGACATCAGTATTGAGAACAGGTTCCCCAACCTGACTGAAGTTAATGGATTTTCTTAATTAGGGAAGTAACAGGATATAGGAGATTGAATGATTCAAAGCTTCTAGCCTAATTGGAAATGTAATTGATTGTGTTTTGCCAGATGCCATTTCAAGAATGTCTTTTTCTTTTAAGATGCTAAAGAAAACCCTTATGGTGAGGATGATAATAAGAGCCCATTCCCCCTGCAGCCTAAAAACAAACGCAGTTATGCCCAGAATGTGACCGTGTGGATCAAACCCAGTGGCCTGCAGGTAACATTACCATTCACGTTGCTCTCCACTGGGGACAGGAGGAGGGATTCTGGCGGGCAGGAGGACATTTGATTTGATTTTCTTTTCCTTTGATACTTAGTAATTAATTTACTTCTAATGTTTGTCATTATTTCCAAAAAGGATTTGAGGTGGCCTACAGTAAAACACGTACATAGCAGGATCATTTTTTACAAAATTTAGAGCAATATGAAACGTAGAGGAAGAGGAGAGACAATTGTTTCAGGAAGCCAAGGCAAAATGATAATTGTATTTGAGCAATTTGGCTCTGAGCTTCCTGCTACCAAGGTCAAAAAAGAAACATGTTGTTTATATGGTTCTTCTTGTCTGATAAAAGGAAGCATGTCAGTTCTTCTAGAGAGACACATTTTTCTGGCATTAAATTTTAATGTAAAAGTTGTGACATGGTGAGTCATTGAATTACATTATGGGTGTTATCTTTAATAATAATTTTGAGAAAGATGTAAAAATCTTCATGTGGTTATTTCTTCCATCCCCACGGCGTAAGCCAAAGCATTACCCTGTAATGCCACAGAGACACTTTCATGGGAGGCTAAGATTATCTTGTTATCAAGGTGTGCTGCTTTTAGTCAACATAGTGACTTTCTTGTCCCATTAGTCATTTATACCTATGTTTTTTAACTCTTTATTTTATATTGGAGTATAGCTGATTAACAATGTTGTGCTAGTTTCAGGTGCACAGCAAAGGGACTCAGCCATACATATACATGTATCTGTTCTCCCCCAAACTCCCCTCCCATCCAGGCTGCCACATAACATTGAGCAGAGTTCCCTGTGCTATACAGTAGGTCCTCGTTCGTTGGCCATTTTAAATATAGCAGTGTTATACCTATTTTTAAAAATCACTTTTTTATCATTTGAGTGCCATGTTTTTTTTCTCCTTTGTTCTTCCAACGAGTCCAGCCTAAGCCAAATGAGAAGAGGCAGTCAGGCCACCTGACCACAGAAGTAGCTTCCGTTGACGGCATAGTCTCTTCCAGCCCCCTTTTCAGGGAGACTGGACACATCCTGACATGGCTAAGGGGCCTCTTCCCTTTGTTGGAAATTCAAGTTCTCCCTCTTTCTTGCCATCACTGACCCCAACACTTCCCTGTCAGAAAGAGAGCTGAATTTTTCTAAAATTATTTTGTAAATTTTGTTTTGATCTGTGTGTATTGTTTCATTATGGTGAGGTGCACATAACAAAATTTACCATTTCAAATATTTTAAAGTTACAATTCAGTGGCATTTAGTACAATCACAGTGTTACACAACCATCACCACTATCTAGTTCCAAAACATTTTCATCACCCCAAAAGGAAATCCTATGCCCACTAAACAAGTCACTCTTCCCCCAGCTCTTGTCAGCCACTAATCTGCTTTCTGTCTGTAAGGATTTGCCTGTTCTGGATATTTCATATAAACTGCATCATATTATATGTGGCCTTTTGTGTTTGACTTCTTTCAGTTAGCATAATGTTGTCAACGTTCATTCATGTTGTAGCACATATCAGTACTTCTTTCCTTTTGATGGCTAAGTAATAGTCCATTGTATAAGTAAACCACGTTTTGTCTATCCATTCATTCAGTTGGTGAACTTTTGAATTATTTCCACCTTTTGGCTATTATGAATAATGCTGCTATGAACATTTGCCAAACTTATTTTTTTTTGTTGCTCTGCTGTTGTCATGAAAAGAGTTTTATAGTTTTAGCTCTTAAATTTAGGCCTCTGAATCATTTTGAGTCCATTTTTTGTATATGGTATGAAGTAAGAGGCCAACTTCATTTTTTTGAGGGTGGCTATCCAGTTATCCAAGCACCATTTGTTAGAGAGACTGTTCTTTCCCCCATTGGATGGTCTTGGTACCCTTGTCAAAAAGTAGCGGCCATAGATGTATGGGTTTACTGGGGGTATTTTTGTGACAAGTTCATTATTATCACCAAGGGATTTATTATCATCAAGCCTTTTGAAGGAGGGAGATGCTTTACTAATGTTGAACAATGACATTAACTCAGAGGGGATCCTCATCTTGACATTGTAACTCTTTTCTCATTTTCATTTTTTTAATTTAAAGCCGTCCTTTTGTATTCTTTCCCTTTTTACCACAGAATTCTAATGTTGAATTCTTTTTACCCTCGATAGACAGATGTACAGAAGATTTTAAGAAATGCAAGGAAACTACCTGAAAAAACACAGACATTCTATAAGGTAAGACTATCAGAATTATAGGGAATGAGGGCGGGCCCTGGGATGTGTGCCAGAAATAAACAGTTCACAGTAGTGTAGGGTAACGTTGAACATGGACAGGGATTAGAAGTGTATGGTTTGTTTGTGCCTCATTAGTTTTTTCATCAGTAGTCAGTAGAAGTGATAAGTCTGTTGCTGCCCTAAAATCCAGGAATCAGAAGTGTTTAAATGACCTGGTTCTGTGCAGCGGGTCTTCTCTGCGTTGGTGCTGTTGTGAATGGCTGAGGGAAGGAGCTGAAAGGACCTGTGGGTCACAGCCCTTAAACCTCCTCACTGCTCCCATATGGGTATCCAGTCTGACTCCAGGCAACCATTGTATGTGACTTCCAGGGATGGTGATGTCTCAGAACATTCTTACTGTACCAGAGGATCTGCTTCCAGGAATGACTTCTAAAATTGCACATTTATGAATTGCAAAAGGATGGCCCTCCAGAATCATCCCTAGCTAATGCAGAACCATTGGTGGAATGAAGTTACAAGGGATGGGGTGGAGTTGAGGGGCATTTAAGGTCACTCCTTGCTTCTCCCCTGTCCTTCTGGTGTTTGGCTGAAATTAAATTAAGTGGCAGTGTGAGGTATGCTGTATTGGCAATTGTGTCCTAGCTTGCGAATCTTAAAATACAGTACACACAGCCAGCTCCAGGGTAGCATCTCTTCCGGAGAACATATGTGCTTTGTCTGGGTGTTATTACCTTTATGTCTTCTAATTATGTAGCGAGCTGGTGAAATCAAGCAGAGTTCAACCAGAGAGCTGCCCAGCCCACCATGTCCCCCACTAACTGAAGCCCTAGGCCTTTGATGACCACTTCTTGGCTGTAGTCCCTGTCTCCCTGCAGAGCTGTCTATTCAGGGTGGCACACTTGTACTTCGGCCTTCTGAACTTTTCAGTTGTAAACAGATGATAGTAGAGAGGTGGTCAGAAAGTCCGTTTCTCTTTTCTGGTTTTACATAACCTACAGGAAAGGGCCTCTACCAGATGGCTGTGTCAGCTCCTCCAGTGGGCGTGGAAGAGGTTATCTTCATTTTGTGCCACTGACACCCAGAGAGGCTACACAGCTTGCCCAGATCACACTGCTAAGTGATAGATGGGGCATTTCATATTTCTGTGCTTCCATCCACTACTCAACCTTTTGTGGTACTCTTTGGGGTCAGACCTACTGACTCCTCCAGTGCCTCCTCCAAACATGCTCATCGTCATTCAGTCTAAGGCTCCAGCCAGAGAGGCACCAGAGGGTTAAGGGTCCCCTGAGGTTTGGGGCAAGCCTTTTCTGTACCTGAGTAACGGAGGAAAAGTATCCTCCATAGAGTTATGAGTACATGAAATGATGTATGCAAGGCATCTCACCATGTTTGGCCTAAGTGCTTATGCAGGAACGTGGAGAGACCTAGAGGGTATAATGCTAAATGAGATATCTCAGATCAGGAGGATGTCATTTCTATGCAGAACCTACAAAGTACCTCACCATGTTTGGCCTAAGTGCTCATGAACTGTGGTGAGGATGACCTGAGTTTCTTCCTTAGACCTGTGTCTTCCTTAGCTTTCTGATCACTGCAGAGGAACCACTTCCCAGTCATGTCATCACACTCTCTTGTTATTGGCATCTCTGTACAAGCATTTGTTCTCATATAAAAATGCTCATTTAAGATTGGGAATCAAGGAGAACTTACACTAAGCTGAGCACTTAGGAAGTATGTGATGAGGAGAACACATTTCAGGAACATTGGTGTCTTTTGTTTTAGGAGCTGAACCGTTTACGAAAGGCTGCCTTGGCCTTTGGTTTCCTGGACCTGCTCAAAGGGGTGGCTGACATGCTAGAAAGGGAGTGCACGCTGCTGCCCGACACAGCTCACCCCGATGCTGCGTTCCAGCTGACTCACGCCGCCCAGCAACTCAAGTTGGCCAGTACTGGCACCTCTGAGTACGCCGGGTATGACCACAACATCACACCTTTGCAGACAGACTTCTCTGGGAGCAGCGCTGAAAGAATGTGAAGCTGACTTCATTCTTTTTCCAAGTGAAAATAATTTAGGATAAAAACTTTTCTGGTCTGTTCACCTCTGCAGCAGCTACCCAAAGACCTTCCCAAGGCTGCCTCAGAAGCACCACTTGCAGGTTTGACTCTGCTACTCTGAGAAGGGTTCTGCAGGGTGGGCAGCTGCTCGGGCTTTGACCTTAGCTTTCTGGAGCTCAGAGTCTTTGAAACCAAAAGACAACTGTTGCTCCCACAATGGGCACGTCTCCCGAGAAGCCTGAAGGACCGACAAGCATAGAGCCCTCTCCACCTTCCTCGGGCACCCTAACAACCTGGGTTCTCTGTTCCTGAAATGCCCTTCACTCTCCTCTCCCAACCACAGGGACATTTTCAGGTACCTTTGGTTGGGAGAGGAGACTTGCTAAGTACAAGCCCAACATCACTAAGTTTCAGAATTTCCTTAGAACTTGGGCAAAAGGTCGGTGGTAACCCTTAGGTGCTTTTGGTATATCTTGAGATACAGACTTTTAAACAGCAACCATAAATGTATAAAATGATTCTTGTTTCTTCAGATTTTTTTTAATGAAAATAAAATATTTGATTTTCTATAAAATGGTTTCACTGGGAAATTTTTAATGGGTCTTTGCCTTTTGCTCTGTCCTATAACCTAAGTATAATTTTAACTTTCTAAGTAGCATAGATTCATCAATCTTGAAGGTTCCTTGGGCTCCTTACTGACTTCCTTGTTTCTGACACTGGTTAGGCCTCACTGCTTCACTGCCTAAGCCAGGTTCCATCCAGGTAGATTCTGACATCACTGTAGTCAGTTATGGTTCATGAGCTACCTTCATGACCTTGGGCAAGTCATCTAACTTTTCCAGGCTTTATTTACATCATCAGTGCTTTTCAGATTGTTCTGTAAACCTAAGGAATGGTTGCTTCAACCTAAGCAACCATGTTTTATTTAACATGCTGAATTGCTATATAGGCATACCTCGGAGGTTTTGCAGGTTTGCCTCCAGGCCACCGCAGTGAAGCAAATATTTCACTAAAGTGAGTCACACGAATTTCTTGGTTTCCCAGTATATAAAAATGTTATGTTTACACTATACTGTAGTCTATTAAGTGTGCGATAGCATTCTAAAATAAAATGTGTATACCTTGATTAAAAAATATTTACTGCTAAAAAGTGCTATCCATCATCTGACAACACAGGGTTGCCACAGATCTTCAATTTCTAAAAAATGCAAGTATCTGTGAAGTGCAATAAAGTGAGGTATGCCTATACAATATTTTGTCTAAACAAAGGAATTTATCACTAACAATTTGGAAACCATTAGACTAAATGATCTTTAAACACAAGTTACTAAGATTTTAATTGTAAATGTTTAATAGAAATACACAATCTTTAGCGTTCTCAGACAGCAATAAAGGGGTTTATAACAATCAGTCACTAAGAATACAAGATTCTGCCACAAAGATACAGCATAATCTGCTGTAAAGCTGATCTGCCCAATTACACATAGAAAGTCAGTTGAAAGAACACCAGAAATTAATACAAACAAATGTTGACAGAAGTTGCAGACATGCAAAATATCCTTCGGTGCTATGAACTTGTAAAAATATCAACCAGCCTATGCTAATCAGATGTTTTTACTTAGGTCAAACCAGGTTTCCATCTTGGGCTCAGAGAAATAACATAACCCACTGAGTCCCCTTTCCCCCAGGAACAATGGGAATGGCAGAACAGAAAGAGCCGTCATACCTCAAATTCTTATATACAAACATTACTTGGTTTACTTGGAATGTATTAGGGAAAACTGATGTTTTCGACAATGGCCAAATCATAGTGTCTAGAGTTTTTTCAGTTCCTCTGTTGGTGGATTTCCTGCCAGGAATTGTTAAAGGCTCAGCTGGTGGTTCTCCAGCCAAAGATCTCACTCTGTTTTCACTGTCCTACTGCAGACAGGTGAAACAACAGCAAAATAAAAAGCAGGTGTTTTTGAGGCCTAATCAAAAACAGTTCCACCAACTCACTCTGACACAAGTAAATCGACTCAGTCAGTGCAGGGGAAGGAACACTGAGTTTTTTATGTCTGTGCACAGCCTAAGACAGTTTCATAGGTATTTTTACTTGGCCTACTCTGATGTTTCCAATTTGCCACAGGCTGCATGGCCAGTTTGACCCTTTGATCCCTGTAGCACCATTTGCATTTGGAACTCTTATAATCTCATTGTTTTCTAACTAATGTTTCATCTTTCTTTCATGTTGAAAATAGTTCTGATTTAGCTAGGAATGAAGTATATGATCATGGTGTCCCAAGGTTCTGACTGGTTTCTCTCAAATCACCCTGTGCCTCTCCAGTGCCCACGCAGGTCAAGATGTTGTTAGAGAGACCAAAAGATTCAGAGGTAATATGTGTCCTCCAGCCCTACTCGGACTCAAAAATGTTTTATCAATGACTGAGTAAAACTCGATTTCCAGAAAAATCAGTGCCAACCCACTTAACAAGTAGCCCCTTGGGTACAGAATATATTAGGTCCTTGTCTGAGTCACTTTCACGGCCTCCTATACAGCAACGTAGTCTTGCTTTTTTTTTTTCCACAAGCAATAGCTGAAAAGAACAAATCCCAGCTATAAGAATGGTCAGTAGCTGGTAGCTTCAGGGCACTGAAGAAGTATCTCTGGCCTGTGTGAAACAGACTGACTGGACATGGAGTGGGTAGAGGTAGGGCTGAGTCTTTTGCTGTCATTAACAGAATACACAGGAATGAACCTGTCATCAGGTATCAGTAATCCATGTCATGCAAGTACTACACTAAGATAATACAGTAAATTCAGGAATGTTACTGGGGAAAAAGGAAGATAGCCTCACTGAGAATTTAATCATTTAACTTTAAAAAAACTTTTACATCAGTACAAGAAGGTAAAACTAAGAATTATAGATTAGGCTCAAACTGGCAAGAAGTCATCTAAATCTCTCTTTTTAGTGGATCTTTTTCTTTTTTTGTCCAAAGCGCCGCCTGCGCTGTTTATAAAGATGACGGAAATTTATGTATAATCCTGAAAAAGAAAAGAGGCCAATTAGAAATGAGAATCTTTGTCTCTGTTTATAAGCAGAAGCTTTTGGGGCAGGACAGTCCCTAGTTGTCTGTTTTTCATATCCCACGGCCCTGTGCTTACTGCAGTTGCTCAGGAAGTACAACTTAGAACAAATATTAATAATGCACTAGAGACAATTCAATTTTTCCCCAGTGGGTTCTACAATTTAATTTTCTCCCATATTTTACTATCAAAAATTTCAAATATACAGAAGATAAAACCATTGTACAGTGAACACCACCTAGATTTAAACTTTAACTTTTTTACATTTATCACATACCCATTCCCATCTCATTCTTTATGTATTTCAGTGTAAGCTGCAGACATCAGTACACTTCACCCCTAAAAATTTCATTAATTAGAGTTCAGTATTCTTTTTTTTCCTTTCTTTTATGGTAGGATTTATATAAAATGAAATACACAAATCTGAAACAGAGAGAACCTAATTTTTAATTCAAGGCTATGCAATAATAGGTATTAAGCAATAGCCTAAAAGGTATGAGACACTTTTCTAGGAAGCACACAATTCAGTGAACTAGAAAAACACAGGATTTAAGAGCCAGAAGAAAATTTCAATCCTACGTGATCACTGAGTAGTTCTGCAGCTTAGTCTCACCTCAGTTTTCTCACTGTACAACAGGGTTAAAAACACTTATTTTACAGACACTGTGAGAGAACGTATGTTTGATCCATACACAAATATAACTGGTTGTTATACTGCTTCTAAATTATGTAGATTTAGGATTTATTTCATTCTGAAGAATAAGAACAACTACATATTCATTGTAGGCAAACTATGAATACAGAACCTTGTAAGTTAGAATATGCAATAGCTTAAACAACACAAGGAAAAGCCACTAGGGTTAGTGCACATTAAAATACATCTACCTGGGACTTCTCTGGTGGTCCGGTGGTTACAACTCTGCGCTCCCAATGCAGGGGGCCCACGTTCGATCCCTGGTCAGGGAACTAGATCTTGCATGCCACAACTAAGAGCCTGCATGCCACAACTAAAATCATGCCTCAACTAAAGATCCCGCATGCGGCAACAAAGATCCTGCATGCCGCAACTAAGACCCGGTGCAGCCAAATAAATATTTTTTAAAATAAATAAAATACGTCTACCCTTCTAGCTTTTTTAGTAAAATGTTTTAAGGGTCTTTCCAACACTTATTCCTTTTTAACACTTTCAGTAGGCCCACCTCATGGAGCCTAATTACAGTAGTACTAGATTTATCCAGTAATAGAGGTAAAGAGCTCTTTTAATGAGTGCATTTTCCAAATTGAAGCTTACTCCCTTAAAGCGCCAAATGTTTTAACATTTTTGGTTTGAAATCTTTCTGAAATGGAAAAGAAGAACAAATGGAATAAAATTTAACCTTTGGCAGATGACCTGCCCCCATAATGTATATTATTTAACTGCACTTCTGCCATGTGCTGATTCCGAGGGGCTCCTAAAGGGTGTAGGTCTCTTCTCCCCCACTTCTAAATGACCAAGATCGGGAATTCCCTGGTGGTCCATTGGTTAGGACTCCGCGCTTTCACTGCCAAGGGCCCGGGTTCAATCCCTGGTTGGGGAACTAAGATCCCACAAGCCACGTGGTGCGGATAAATAAATAGATAACCAAGATCACTGGGCTTTCCAATTTCTTGGGTTTACTTTTTGTGGTCTCCCTCTCAGTCTGGGGAAGCCAGCCTCCAAGCTGGTCCCCAATAATCCCTACCTCCTGGTATTTCATACCTTTGTGTAGTCCCCTCCCACATTATACAAGGTTGATCTGTGTAAGAAAGAGAATACAGCAAAAGTGATAGTATGTCGGGGCTTCCCTGGTGGTGCAGTGGTTAAGAATCCACCTGCCAATGCAGGGGATGTGGGTTAGAGCCCTGGTCTGGGAAGATCCCACATGCTGCGGAGCAACTAAGCCCCCGTGCACCACAACTACTGAGCCTGTGCTCTAGAGCCCGGAAGCCACAACTGTTGAAGCCCACGCGCCTAGAGCCCATGCTCCGCAACAAGAGAAGCCACCGCAATGAGAAGCCCGCGCACTGCAACAAAGAGTAGCCCCCCAGGGCTTCCCTGGTGGTGCAGTGCTTGAGAGTCCAAAAAAAAAAAAAAAAAAAAAAAAAAAAAAAAAAAAAAAGAGTAGCCCCTGCTCGCCACAACTAGAGAAAGCCCATGTGCAGCAACAAAAGACCCAACACAGCCAACAAATAAATAAATAAATAAATCTTTTTTTAAAAAAGTGATAGTATGTCACTTCTGAGTTTAGGTTATAAAAAGCAGTGTGGACATGATAGAAGTGCTAATTATCACTATAATGGCAATCTTATTACAATTGATAAATGTATCAAATCAACATGTTATACCTTAAAGTTATACAATGTTTTATGTCAAATATATTTCAATAATAAATAAATTTTTTAAAGGCAAAAAAAAAAAACGCAGTGTGGCTTCTGCTTTCTTCCAGACCACTTGCTTTGGGGAGAAGCCATTCATGAGCATCCACGTG